GGAAAATGATATTATATAACGAGTTGTCCTTTAGCTAAGGTATTATATTTAATCTTAATTTAATTTTTTTCATGTCAATGCATTTGTCTTGACAAAAGTTGCAATTTTTTTTGTAGATGAAAAATGTTGCAGGTGGAGGTCGAGAAAGTTAATGGAGGGCCAAAACAAAGTTAACGGAGGGCCAAAACAAAGCATGTGTTTCGGAAGAATATTGATAATTTGAATTAAAGTTTATATATGTATGGATGATAATGTGGTTGTATGGATTAATCACGTATTTTCGGAATAATGTGATAATATGAACTAAAGTTATGCATGTATGGATGATAATGTGAACTAAAGTTGTGTGTGTATGGATGATATATACAAAACTTGAATAAGTGGGTACAAATTTTGAATAAGTTGGTATCAAATGTGCATAAGTGGGTACAAAACCTAAATAAGTGGGTACAAAACTTTTTTTCAGAACAATGAGGTACAAAACCTGAATAAGTGGGTACAAAACTTTTTTTTCCAGAGCAACAAGGTACAAAACCTGAATAAGTAGGTACAAAGCTTTAATAAGTGAGTACAAAACTTGAATAAGTGAGTATAATTTTTTTTCCAGAACAATGAGGTACAAAACGTGCATAAGTGGGTACAAAACGTGCATAAATGGGTACAAAACTTGAATAATGAGGTACAAAATCTGAATAAGTGGGTACAAAACTTGAATAATGAGGTACAATTTTTTCCCCAGAACAATGAGGTACAAAACGTGCATAAGTGGGTACAAAACTTGAATAAGTAGGTACAAAACTTGAATAAATGGGTACAATTTTTTTCCGAAACAATGAGGTACAAAATGTGAATAAGTGGGTACAAAACTTGAATAAGTTGGTATAATTTTTTTTCAGAACAATGAGGTACAAAGCGTGCATAAGTGAGTACAAAATTTGAATAAGTGGGTATAAAACTTGAATAAGTGGGTATAATTTTTTTTCCAGAACAATAAGGTACAAATCGTGAATAAGTGGGTACAAAACTTGAATAAGCAGGTACAAAACGCTTATAAGTGGGTACAAAACTTGAATAAATGGGTACAAGACTATTTTCCAGAATAATGAGGTACAAAACCTGAATAAGTGGGTTTTTCTCCAGAACAATAATGAGTTACAAAACTAGAATAAGTTGGTACAAATTTTTCTCTAGAATAATGAGTTACCAAATATTAGCCACATAATATCAAATGAGTGTATCAAATAAACAACATTTACAATGAACATCCTGTTACTTCCACTTCTCCACAAAATATCATCCACATAATATCATCCACATATTACGTATACAACAACAACCAAGGAGAAAATTAAAATAATATTTACAAAAATGGTGAATCGCATACAAGAGAGCTGCACAAAACTTTGTTATGTACTTTGCACAATCTCCTTCTGAAATGGTTATCGATCGCATACAAGAGAGCTGCACAAAACTTTGTTATGTACTTTGCACAATCTCCTTCTGAAATGGTTATCGATCGGTTTTCGACAATGCTGTTAATGAATTCTTATGTACTTTGCACAATCTCCTTCTGAAATGGTTATCGATCGGTTTTCGACAATGCTGTTAATGAATTAGATCATAAAGATCCCGGAATCTAAGGTTCTGCATTTAGGGGGAAAAAAGTACGATATTGAAAATGACTTTGAGAACAAAAATGAACAATTACATTAGAAATGCATGAAAAACTTACGGTCCTTGTTGTGGCGCGACAACTGACACAAGAACATGATGCTCTAATTTCCCCAATGTCCAATTACTCTCTATGAAACTCATAAACTTATTTCTAAATTTCGCAGCATTTGCGGTATAAATGGGGGAGTTGATTGAGGAGTAGTAATAGAATTTTTTTCTCCTCTCTCACTAACTCTACCATGTGCCAATGTCCGGAGCTGACAATCGGGATCAGAATTCTTTCACACTCCAAGAACTTCTGTTGAGAAACATTTTCCTTCATTCGCTTTGCCACTATTTCAAGATTTCCTTCCAAAAATGCTTGATAAAAGATGCATCAATGTAAACATTGTAGGGTAACATAATAATAAAAACCACCAACTAATAAAAGAACACGGATATACTTACTACAAGCCAAGGTCTTGTGACATGTGTCTTACATGTCCGCGGACATAATATGAAGCCGATAATAAAAGTCACAATAAGTTTCACACATATTATAAGGTCTTTATTATTCATATCTACAATCATCTGGGCAATCCTATCGCGCTTCCTCCAAATCACCGCCTTCTTTTCCTCATCGGCTTTCTTCTTGCCTTTAGAACTACTACTCTTCTTCTCCTTGAGAGTCTTATAATTCTTTACAAATTGGGTGTAGATTGTATTAGCCGCTGTCCCACTCATTTTTATCGGAATTCCCTCCTTTGGCAAATCAGTAATTCGATGAATATCATCTATACCAAACACACAATTTTTATTCCCAATCATAAATGAACATTTACCGAAATTAAAATTTTGAATCAAGCATTCAATTGCTATTTGCTCCTTGCTCAAGGATGTGGGTATCTTGAGAAAGTTGTGAAAAGGTGTCGTCTCAAGGGCTTTTATGTGTCTTTCATCCAATACTATACGCTTCTCAATTAAATCTCAAAAATAACACAAATTGGACAAAATTCTCAGTTGTGTTATCATAGCCCTGCAAGAGAATTATAATTTAGAAAGAGTTAAAAATTAAATATATTTGGGCAAATTAAGACGCATATTAACACAAACAATATACCTAAAATAGATACTCGATATGACAATAATCACAATAAAATTTACAAGTTTATTAACACAAACATTATATCTCGTGGCTTAGAACACCCCCGCATATGACAGGGGCACTCTAATAAAAAAATCATCATCCCACTCATTGGGCTGCCACTGTTTCATATGGGGTTTCTATATCTAAACAAACATTGTGACCAACTCTACTATCCGGTCTAAAGACAACTATATAATACATAACAAATTTGGGGAAGGGGAGAAACACATGCAACAGGATATTGATCGACGTCTTCGATTGTAGTGGTAGTAATAAAGAAAATCGTTGGTATGATGTGCAACAAGGACTGCAACCCTGTATATGTATAGGTTGGCCGGGGCATGAGTCAGCTTGATACGATCATCAACTTTTCCTTTTTAATCATGATTTAGAATTAAGCAACATGAAATAATTCTCATAACCAAAATTTTAAATGGTTGAGTTTTGAGTTTGAGATATTTAAGAGTTGAATGATGAACCAGATTATGTCGCCAACAGTAGGATCATGATAAGACAACAACTATTAGACTTCATTGATCAACTATTTGAGTATGGAAAGCTAGTAGTTTGCCTATTCTTTCATCCCTCCCAAGCAATGACTTGTTGACACAGACATCAGTAGGCGGAGGCAGCAATTTTAACTTTCGACGCATATTAACACAAACATTATACCTCATCAAAAAATTTACTTACGAAGTTGGAGGATTATTGCATTTAGAAGAGGAAGACTTTGATTTTGAAGAAATCGAAGACGTCGATGCTTTCAATTTGTTCGAAGCTATGAGGGCTGATGAAGAGGTCGAAGCGAGCTCCGGCGGCGGCGATGGACCTGAGGGCTGAGCTCGAATGCCGTTTGCAGCGAGGACAAGGATCCGACGGCGTAGCTGATGACGAAGGCGATGGAGAGACTGATGGCGAGGGCAAGGCTGAGCGGGGGGCGAGGGGATGGCGAGGTCGAGGGGATGTTGAAGGCGGCGAGCTCCGGAGTCGGCGATTTGGTGGAGAGGAGGAGGGGGAGATGATGGTGAGGTCGAGGGGATGTCGAGGGCGAGGGCGCGGAGCCGACGACGAGGCTGAGCTCCGGCGGTGGCGATTTCGGGCGGTGGAGAGGAGGGGGGAGGGGCTGGCAAGATCTGAGCGGGGGAGATGAGAAAATGGGTAGGGTTATTTTTTGGGAGTGTTTTTGAACGGACGGCCCAGATGTATTTTGGGGTTTTTGAACCAACGGCCCAGATCGCGCATCCTTAGATGTAGCCTAGGGAGTCACCTTAGATCCATGTTATATATATATGGAGGACAATCGTTTCTTTATACCAACCTCAAAATTACCAGTATAGCCCTCACATTTCTGTTGGAAAGTAAAGCGTCCTTCAAACTTTTTGGTGCCCCCACTAAGTTTTTTAGAAGTTAGGTTACTAGTAGTTTATTTCACTGGCAAGGCAGATTTGTTACATAAATAGCCTTGCCACAGGATGTCTGCAGAATAAACAAAAGATCAAGTTTGCCAAGAGATCGAAATGTTGAAAAAAGCAACAAGGTGAAATAGATAGTTCCATCAAACACAAGGTCATAGATGTAAACATCCCCAAAGCGCGAGAGAGACTTCTCAGGACATATTAACGTATTATCATGGTTTTTTCTTGACAAAGGTTTTAGATGCTTCCCTCCTCAAAAATGCTAAGGTTTTATCTTCTCAGTTCAGTGAAACCATTAAATAAGATATGAAAAAAGTTCGCACATGCTGGGTACCAAACAGCAGTCATAAGCAATCTTGTACATTTGTGAAGCTAATATAAAAAATATCACGAGTGGTTTTAGAATCGATGAATAATCATTATAAAATTAGTACTTTAAATGTTCAGTTGGCCTCCTAAACTTGGATAACTTCTTACCGTAATACATTTTAAAACAGCTGACTAAGTGCTCACTGGACATAATTTATAGTTCGGAAAATAGATTCCACACACTTAATTTACCAGGATTTGATTCCGAGATTATAGCACTGTATTCAATTCTAGACACTTTTTTGTTCATATGATAACAATACAACTCATTTACCCATTGATGCATGCTTCTGAGTAGTGAGTTACCATCCTCGCATGTTATCTCCTGTTTTTTAGTTGACTACCACGAAAAGTACGCTATTATTTTGCAAACGCTGAATGATTATTGGAGAAGTGTACGACCATGCATATTTTTCTCCTCAATGCTTTTTTTCCTTCTTATTTGTGTAACTTATCAGATAGTACACGATGCTATTCAGAATATGTACCGCAAATGAGCTATATAATTCCTGAAACACTTGATGCTACAACAAATTGGGGTTCTTATATAGAAAAATCTGCTGAAAAGTTTGCATCTCAAGGTCAGACAAGCGATCAATTCAGCATGCTTTCCGAGCTTTTAGAGGCAAGAAATCGCCTGATATAATTCATGCTCACGAGGAAAGATGCAAGACGGTTATTAGAAGGACGTATTGATCACCTTCTGAAAGGATTGAAAGTCCCTCTGCTGTCAGGCTTCGATGGAGAGATATATACACCAGTTCGCAGATGTTGTGGAGCTCGATAATGCACACCTAACAATAGGCTATAGTCCATTATATGCTGTGTTTCCAAGAATTTACTATCAATCTCAATCTGCCTGTAGGAGATATTTGAAATAGTCATTAAGTGAAGTGCTACAAGATATAGACAATCAGGCACGATAAAATGAAACATGTCACACATTTGTTAACTATGACTAACTGAAGAAAAGCAACACCATTTCATAAGGAACAAACACATCATAAAAGGTCAAAAACTTGGGTACAACTCAAAAATAAATCTACCATAACTAGTACTTTTTTATGAAGGAGCAGTGGTTAATCTATAGAGTTAAGCATGCTAAAGTATAAGCGTCTTTAGGACGAATACCTCCATGGAAGTTCTCATTCGAGGACGGACAAGAGGATTGAAATTCTAATCAATTCTCATCTCTTGAGTAGAAAACATAAAAAATTACATTTCAACGCCAGTCAGACACTCCTAGCACATCTATGCAGAGAATACGTCCAGAAATGTCAAGCATATATAATTGAAAAGCTACCCATTGGTTTCCATTACTTATATGAAAATAAGCAGTATAGTTAATAATGCAAAAGTGAATTATAACTTTACTACAGACAAACAATTGCACAGAACAAGTGTATTCTCATATATGTGCACCTGATGGTGATAGTTTGGAAGCATCCGCAAAAGCACCTACATTTTTAAACTAAATTACACTCTGCTGGCTGCTAATTAAAAAATTATCAATAAAATCATGTGCATGCTTTGAGCCATATACTGTTTAGAGAAATGAATTGATTGGCTATGAAATATGCAGAAACAAAAAATTAATCAGAGTTTATAGTCCTTGTTAAGCATAGAAGCACAAAATATATATTATTATAGTTCTAGGAGTGTCTTTTGTACTACAAGCTCTACATGGCACCTTGGAGCTCCTATGCTTCTTTGCTTTCAGCTGGTTTTAGTTTCATTGTGATATACATGGCAGGGACGTAGGCAGCAATCCCTATATAATCCATCTAGACTACGGTATCATAGAAATTTCAAGGATAATTATTTTGACTGAACAATATTAAGGAAAATTACACTCGAAGTAGGCCAACCAATATTAGATGCTTATCTGTCATGGCTAGCATTAGATTAACACAAAAATTCCCATATTCACAATTGACTGAACTCAGCATATAAATATATCAAACTTAGAGAGACAAACTACCTTCACTTCAGATTTACGGAGAGTTTTAATCATGCACCGGACATCTTGAGAAGGAAAAAAACACTTCCACTCTTCCCAGAGGAAGAAAGCTCTCTTAAAGCCGCATTTCCACAAATGGATATCATGTAGTCTGCAGCATCAATCTTGAATAATTCTCGCATCAATCTTGAATAATTCTCGTAAATTTCTGCATCCAGTATGGGAGACTATCACAACTAGAAACTTTAAGATAAACTCATCTAACAAAGAAATAATAATAGGAGAGCATCCAAAGGATAAACATTCAATAAACTGTGGCTCTTCCCCCAAGAAAAATTACAAATATCTGAGTGAAACTGTCTTATTTATCTTACATCAATCAATATATAAGCAATGTTTGTATATAGCTCTTTTGAGCTTAGCTAAGCATGAAGAAGCTAACTGACTATTGGCTAATACTATATTTATAACAATAAATATAGAAACATGGTAATGATTGCAGAAAGTAAGCTTTTCAGGCTTCCAACAAAAAAATCATGAATGAGCTAAACTTGGCTCACAGCAAGATTGTCACATCAACATGTAGCCAAACAGCAGGAAACATACACACATAAGACTACAGAAGAATGAGCTAAACTTGGCTCACAGCAAAACAGCATGTACCAATGGACATCGCTAGATTAAATCTATTCATTTAAACATGGGTTATCAGGCTTCCAACAAAAAAACTTTTAAAGAAGGACATGCACTATTAGAACTTTTCGTTTACCAATTTGAGATATTGATATAGGAACAAAAAGTGATTTGGATTATTGTGAAAGTAATATAATATTTTTAACAACTTCTTTCAATTCTTCCCCTATATATCCATTAATAGATGTTCTTCTTAAATCTTCCCAGTCGTTAAATACAGACCATCCTATTTTTCTTTTCCATATTGCATGAAAAGTGTCTGGATCATAGGATATGGGTGTTTGAGTGTCATGTGTTTTCCAAGTATCCAACATGGGAAAAATTTTGTAAGGTGAAGTGTCCTGATAACACTAATTTGAAGTGAGTTCCTTTACCTTATCTTCTCCAAGTTCCTCCCCTAGCTAAAATTTGTTAAGGACTAAAATGAACATTGGAGAAGTATCCTGAAAAATCTAATCAATTTTGTAACCGTCAGTGTACCAATTACTAGCCCCTTCTCCGCATATCAAGAATTGTTTTTCTGCACTTTATTTCCCCCGGCTACTTGAAGAACACTATACAGCTAAGTCCATGAGGCTTAAATTAGCATTACCAGTGAAAAACCACATGCTGAGGTGAAATACTTCATATTTCTCTTTCTGTAATATAAGAGAAATCAATAAAGGAAACCATTTAGTCTTTTACTGTATATTTCAACAATTATGTGATATTTTTTCATCGATTTCCCTCTTTTCAATGGAATCACTCATTGATGAGAAGCCAAAAGCATTTTGGGCCTGTGTTCAGATTAGATTCTAAATCTCTAAGCATAGAAGAAAGCAGCCTACTCTTAGACATGGTATCAAGAAAATCCTGTCTAATAAAATTGTAGATTTTTCATTTACTTTGCTTTTTACAGTACAAAAACATGATGGAATCTTTCCTACCACTTGGGCAGTGAGTTGTATAACATGGCATAAATGAGTTGTTTTACCCAAAATTATTCTAAAGACATAGATAATATCATTATACTACAAACCTGAAGACTATTGGACAATAATCTTTCAACTTAAAATCTTCTGAATGATGGGGAGGTGTTAGTTGGGAACCTGCTTTAGGAAAATCCATCCAAAAGCTTGCTCGAGGACCAAAATCTGATGCAAGAACTCCACGCCTTTGAATTGGGGTTATTTTACCCACTGTATACCTGGCCATCAAATGCTCAGCATCAATCAACCATAAAAAACTTTAACTTGAACATTTAAATATTCTAAACAAACTGTTACCATAACAGAGCATTTGGAATGAAATCCTCTGAATTTTAAAAAATTTGTAGAACAAGCAATGTTGCAAAAAAGACCACCTAATTCCAAAGTTCGAGCCATCGTGTGATTCAATAAATTTTAAAAACCAAATAGACCAGAGAGGAAACAACAATGAGTAGTTGAAAATGTTGGAACCAGTGCTCCCAGACTCGAATTTTTTTTTCTAACTTCTTCGTTTTTTTATTTTATTTTTCTTTAATATTTTATTTTTTATTTTTTAATTTTTAATTTTTAATTTTTAATTTTAATTTTTTGCATGAAGTAGTGCCATACTGTAATCATATATGAGCAGTCACAGGAGTATCAATTATATTACTGATGTTTAAAACTTAAGGTGCTATTGATATATTCATTATCATAATGGAAAATCTGATTCTCTTCCAACAAAAATCAACAGCTATCTACAACGTTCAAACATTTGGCAAGTTCAGTATAGAGAGGGGGATTCTTGGATGTGGAAGCAAATTCTCAAGGTTAGAAGTATGCTGATTTCTAAATTTGGCAATTCTACAAGCTTGATGAACACTTTGGAAAGCTGCTGTGAAAATGGAAATATTCAGATGAGACTGATTTACAATGCTCTGTCTCAGCCGATTAACTCAGTTGATTGGGCTTATACTACATGGGGGAAATTAAACTACCCTAAGCATTCTTTCACCCTCTGGCTTGTTAATCATTCTAGGCTACTCACCCAGGAAAGATTGTGTCGGTTCAGAATCCTAGATACCAACTGCTGTGTCCTGTGCTCTAATCAGTTGGAAAATTGCAGACACTTATTTTTTGATTGCCAATATTCGGCTGAAGTATGGAACAAAGTGATGGACTGGATTGGTTTCACTTGGAGAACCTGTGATTGGAACCTACTTATCCACTGGTACACCTGCAACTTGAGAGGCAAGGGGTTTAAGAAGGACCTGAAGAGAATGGCTCTCTCTGCTACTGTATATACCATTTGGCAAGAGAGAAATGCCAGGATCTTTCAAGAGAGAGCTAGGGGGACTAAAGAGCTTCTTCGAGTAATAAAACTCTCCATTTACTCTAAACTTTGGAATGATAATATTCCTGTATATATGAAGGAAACTGTAGAGAGACTGTAATGTCTGTAGTGAGGCTATAGTGTCTGTTTTTGTTCACCAGGTAAGTCTAAGCCTGGTTCATTGATGTACTATAATTTCTCAAGATGAATGAAAGATTTAATTCATTGATCAAAAAAAAAAAAAATCAACAGCTATCTGAAACACTAATCGACTTTGCAACCTTATATAAGCCAATACATGCTATGCTCAATAGCTTTAACAAGCTGTGAAAAGAATTGCATCAATAAACATGAAGCATAAAATCAAAAGCAAGAGCACAAAACATGAATTAAATCTAAAATACACAAGAAATGGTGGAATTTGTTACAGAAAAATTAACAAAAACCAGAAAAAGCTTATGTTACCTGATTCCAAGCTGCAAACTAAGCATTAAATCATAACTTCTATGACTTTTAATAATAGTTTCCCCAGGCTTTTTAACATCCTTTGCCATCTTCCTGTGACGCCGTTTTTCTCTTCTAGATGATGAACTATGAAGAGAAGCTATTATTGACGACTAGCTCACTGATTAGAACACCTTGCATATATTCCCGTTCTAGAATCGGAAAATTTGCATCTGTCTTTTTCATTACTAACAGATAACAGATTCTCCACTGAATAGTGATACATCGTGTCCAATAACTTTTTCAATGGCCACTTCAAGACTCCAACGTCTTTCTAGAGAAACATTTTTGTTCCAGGATTGTTCATAATTTACAAGGTTGACTTTAGGAAAATTTCCTGACGAGACACTATTTGATCCTTGAACCTCACTAACCTTCATGCTTCCCATATCAACAGAAGAAGCATGAAGGATGTGTGATCCATGGTATTTTATGCTTCCCATATCAACCTCACTAACCATACAACACACATACATGGTTGTCGAGGTGGCAATGCCGATGAAGATCAAAGCCACAATGCCGATGAAGATCAAAGCCATGACCAATTTGAAATTTCGAACTGAGCTCGTCATCACCATGTATGGTCTTTTTCTTTCTTTCTTTCTTTTCTTTCTATCTTTCTTTCTTTCTTTCTTTCTTCATCTTCTTTGGCGCGGGTGGTAGGGAGTGCGTGTTGTATGGTGTTTTATATATTGCGTTTTGTTATTGCACTGTGGAGTGTGGACCTATAGGGAAACTAACTGCATGTGCCTTATTAACCATTTAATACATCAATCTCCACATATGGAATGCAAATATAATTTTGAGTGACATTTTATTGGTCGAAATTAAATAAGGAACCCATGCGCATATTTAGACGTAGAGATTAGGTGGACAGTTGGTTTACAAAGTTATGGAGACCATAGTAAAGGATTGAGTCTATAAGAAGTTAAGAACTTAACAAAACTGAACGGAGAAGTTGATAACAGCTGTAAATAATACAAGGCAGTTTCTATCTTTATATTCAATAATAATTTTGAATTCCAATAGCTATCTATCCTTGACCACTTAATGCATGATTTAAGGCAACAAAAAATGATGACAGCTTGTTACTACGTGAAGGGAATACTCGCGGTATCACCAACTTAATTTTAAACGTTCCATAATAGGTCAAGCTTATTCATGAAGTAATTCGTCTGTTTTGCTATGGTTAATGGTCCCGGTTCCATCTTATATGTTGCAGCCTTTTAATTTCAAAAATAGCTTTTATATGAAAAAAACTCTTGAACGAGGAGGCGGTTTAGGTTAGAATATTTGATGATACACCTCAAAACATGATAAGAATTATTGAGAATGTTATCTTGAGGTATAAAATGTTGGAACCAGAAAAGTCACAAGCAAGATATGTAGGATAAATAGAGTACTCAGGTAGAAAGAAAGACGGGTATAAGAAGACTGAAGAAAAGAGACAAAAAATTCAAGAATTTAAGGTCATCAAGAAATGCACCACAAAACAGTCTCCTATTTGCAAAAGAAAATATATCAAGAGAAGATTAACGATCATATGAATCCCATAAGTTGCGTAATCCTTGTACTACCGAGTGCAAATTTGTCAGATATGAATCATATAGGCTATGTAATCTTGATAAAAATGAGTGCACAACAACAATTAATCTATGTTACGACGATAGCCGGATTATCAAATTGATCCTTAACTTCATGAGTTGATCCTAGGAAAACCAGAGCCTTAATTATTCCCTTTTCTTGCCCATTCGCCTCAAAAGAAGAGAAAAAAATAATCTATTTTGTTCCAAGTTAGTCCACAAATTTACATGCTCAGATTAAGCAATCATTTTAGCAGCAGAAATAAAAACTCACGAGATAGACGGATAAGGTCTTCAGAATCTCAAACATCTCACAGGTATAATTGGGGAGTGAATGGATGTTTGATGGTGAGGCAAAGACATCCCTCAGCTTGGAGAGAAGGTCTTCAGTGACCTATTCCCATAAAGATTCGACGACGTTGATCACAATGATCGATATGTGAATCAGAATGCGCCTTTCTTTAATATAAGCTAATAAACACGAAGGCCTGTAAAATGAAAATTTTTATAACTAAGATAAGCCCGATACCGTGCAAACTGAAAATTTTATAACTAAGATCAACCCAACCCAACTGCAAACTGCAAACTTTAAGACCCTAAAGACTGGTAGTGATGATGCTAGTAGCTAGTGACGGGTTGAGGGTCCAGATTCAACGTGTGGTTAAAATAGAGGACTTGGTTTCTGTACTGGTTGATTGGGTCATGCTTCTAGGCTCCGGTTCAGGTTCAGGTTTAGGCGACCTTTCTATGTTGGTTCTTTGATTTCCTCTTCAGGTTCAGGTTCAAAGATTGCATTAACTGCTTTGGCAACAGCTGTAATTCTCCTCTCGCCACCAACGCAGCTGCTGCGATATATCTTGCATAGAACATAATTGTCCAACTGCATTCAACACGTGCACAAGTTCATCGAAAGATGATTACACAGAAAGCTATAGGTACATGGGTAAATACAAAATAATATGAAATATTCTCAAAAGTTTCTTCAGTAAGAATCAAGAAATTCAACAAAAGGCATGCATCATGGATATAACTGATTGAAGAAGATGGATGAATATATATCGACTAAATAAGCTGAGGTATCAAGTGAAAGAGTCAGCATGAGATGTTAATTATAACCAAAAATAATAATCTTATTTGTAAAATGAGATGCTCATGATCATGGAATGAATCAATAAGAAACAGACTCTTGTTCGAACCAATTGAGAATAAAGACAAACTAGAAAAAAAAAACTGATCAAAGATAAAGATGATCAATAAAGAGAGACGCAATTCAGAAATTGATCAACAAGCATGCATGCCATTTCTGCATCATATAAAAGAACTGATGCAAAAAACTAAACTAAGTGACATGAAGAAAGCAGAAACGCAATGTAGCAAGAAAATGAAATCCTAACGAAGAGACCAGAAGCTTATCATTAACTCTGACGTCATCCTTGGATCAAGCTTCTCAACACCAATTAAACTTTTACAATTTCCATTGTAATGCTATTATTACTAGCACTACTATCATTATTTTCATTGTTTTCTTGGAAGGAAGCACGACTGTGTCTTAGGAAAAGAGAAATGAAAGTATTTCTTTTTTACTTTTCTACCAAGGAGAACTTTGGCGACTTTGATGAAGATAACTATAAGCAATTATGATAGACTGATGATTGCTTTTACGCAATAATGTTTGTCGAGCGCATTACAAAGATAAAGGACGTCCTAATTTGATGCATGAACCCGCTTGATCATTATTTGCAAGATCTAAGAGTTGACACAAATCAAGTTTCAAGAACAATTGAGAGATACTACGGTTGAAAACATGGTGAGAGGACCAGAATCCCAATGATGAAAATTACTTACCCAAACATGGAGGAATATTTCAATGGAATCTATTATCCACGAGGTCCAGAATGAGAAGTTTCCTTGCAGTTTCTCAGTGACGAAGGGACTTCTCCAATAAAACCCTTATACATAGCAGGGATTCCAGAGGAGTCATCAACCAACTGAACATGAATCTCACCATGAATTGGAATCTTGTAGGTTAGGTTGCCCGAGAGTTAAGAAAGATCAAGGGAATGCTGGTGAGCATGATGATTTTGAAGATGAGTTCCAAATACAGTGTCGAGCAAGAACTGCATCATCAGAAAGTTGATCTCACCTCAGTAAAATTCATTAGAAACTAATGTAATTCCCAAATCTGTACTTTCCAATATGTATCAACATTAAATGAGGGATGAGAAACCTTTTGCAGGAAAATGGTGAATAAACACAACAATGGCAGCCTCATGACCCAGTTATCTCATCAATCATCATTTACTGGCACCAGAAGGATAAATTTGCACCCAGTATTCTAATTTTAATACTAGACCTTGGTCCTCCCCCCTCAATAAATTTTACTTAATGTGTATTATGCTCTAAATTTTGCGGTGGATGGTAAGGCTTTTGAAGGAGAAATGGAGATGGAGAGCAATCTGGAATAGAGGATAGAGTGGACAAATGGAAAGCAAGACAAGAAAAAAAAATGACTGATCAACAAAGACAATGAAGAATGATGATCAGTAATATCTATGAAAAAACATATGTTTAATCCATTTACAAATAAACACATCTTTAATCCATTTATGAATAAACACATGTTTAATCCATGTATGAATAAACACACATGACATACAAATGACATCTATAAACCAGGCAGTGACAAAATTTTACCTTTGAATTATTTTCGCAGCATGGCCGAGGCACGCAGCCCCTATGACGACAGGTGCAAATCACCTCAAGCAAGATCAATCCATACCGCATCATTATAGTCCTCAGGCTTGTCATCCTCATCTTCATTTTTTGGTTTTTATCATGCCTCCAGCAAAATATGCCTATCCCCTTTGGTTCACCTTAGTTATATGTTGGATCTTGTTCACTGGTTCACCCAAAATGGTTTCCCATCACTCGTGAAGCCCATCTGAATAACCTCTCTGCAAGGTTTGAACGTGACGATCAGGCAAACAAGCTTTCACCAGTTGATGTGTTTGTTGGTACAGTTGATCCTCTGTAGGAGTCTGATATCATCAGTGCCAACACTGTCCTCTCTATACTTTCTGTGGACTACATTGTGGACAAGGTTAGCTGCTATGTATCAGATGATGGTGCATCAATGCTTCTGTTGATACATAATCAGAGACAGAAGAGTTTACAAGGAGGTCTATGCCCTTCTGCAAGAAGTAGAAGCTGGTTCTCGAAACTTCAGAGCCTTACTCTACCCGTATCTCACTCATTTTCCTCGGAAACATACTCCATCTCCTGTTTCTGTTTCATTCTAATCCATAAACTATTCCTACATACTTGGAAACGAAATCATTTTGGTAGAAGAGATAAAAACTTACTACTAAAATGGATAATGGCTTCTGAAACACCCAATAATTCTGTATGTATACTTGGGGAGGGCTGGTGAACTTGATGTCGAAGGCGAAGAACTGCCTAGGTTGGTGTGTCTCTCTCGTGAGAAGATACCCAAACAACACATGAAGCCAAGGCCGTGAATGCATCGGTAAGCCATTTACTGTATGAAGTTTATTTATTTAAGTTAAGCTAAGTGGTACAAATGCTGCACAATTTTTTTGGGGATCTATAAGTGCAGGGTCTAGCGTCCACAGTGTTTATCAATGCACCCTTCATGTCGAATCTTGGAAGAAGCTTCGCATGATGTGCCTCCAGATTAACCTGATCTTGGAAAAGAAGGTCTACTATGTCCAATTCCCACAGAGATTCGATGGCATTGACTGCCATGATCGATATGCCAATTGTAATGTGGTCTTCTTTTGATGTAAGCTAACAGTCAGTAATAAAACTCAAAAACTCAAACTTGTAAACTAGCCGTCTAGCCATTATGTAACTTAGACGAAATTAATACTACAATTTCGAACTCTTCTATGCATAGTTATAGGTGAAAAATCCATGTGATTTATGTGCTTGGATCAACATGAAAGATCTAGATGGGATCCAATGGTCGGTGTATGTTTGAACTGGATTTGCTTTCAACCGCTAGCCTCTCTACGGTTAATGACCCCCTAAGACTCAAAAGCACCCAAACATGACATGAGACTTCTGTCTGTCTTGGTGCTGCTGCTGTTGAGGTGGCTCGAGGAAACCCAAGGCAAAGAAGGAAGATGGAGAACAAAGATTGAAAGGATTTTTCAGAGAAGAAGAAAAAAGATATAATGCATTGCATTGAAATTAAGATAACAAAGATAAACAAATTTTTGTTGATAATTTATTGCAGAATAAGGTAAATCAGTGAAAGATATTAAGCTGCATTGCAACTGTAAGTAAAAGCAAATAGGACTTGCATAAGCAGCAAACTGAATGCAAAATAAGATGTGTATTGCAGATATTTAAAATAAAAAGATTTGCACCACCGACAACATATGACCAACGTAAACTGCACCGTCATATCATCCAAAAACACATTCACCCATTGCATCTTATAATCTAATTGGTAGTATCATTGTAATACTTGACAATTGATTTGCACATAAATTATTTCACTATGGCAAACCTGTACTATAGAAGATAAAAGAACACATACTAATCTGAGGCTCTAATTTACAGTGTTTTGAGTTAAAAATGTACACGTAACAGATAATCTATTTCCCTATGAAAGTAAATACGAGCACGCTTTAAAAATGTCACCTTGGGCATTGCAGTTTAGTATGTATGGGTGTTCTATCCAATGGCATCGGAAGGAAATGTATTTCGATAATTATCAAATCAAAACCACAAGACCTTACAATCTATGATGTAAGATGGGTTTTTACCTGGAGTTTGATGGATCTTCTCCTTCTATCCACTTTTCCTCTATCTCCAACTCTCCCTGTTATCTATTAAGCTGGGACGAAAGAAAGAAAGAGCGGGTTCTGGTCCCGGGACCTCCGTCATAACCATTCAAGGAAAGAATACAAGAAACAAGCGTTAGTGTGTCACATCTGTGTTCCTTACAAGGATCAAAGCGACTTAAACATTTGGCAAACAGCGTACGTTCGGTCTAGAGTGTAAATTGTTCTTGAAAGTCCTTTACAAAACCACTGGAGAGTGGAGGACTGGAGTGGAGATCAATACCATAGCACCCAACTATGGAACTATTTTAAACTTTTCATGATAAATATCAATTGAGTTACTTAAGGCTCTTCAAAGCTCTTAAAAACTACAGGTTTCTCGGATTACCTGAAGCTCAATCAATTGAGTTACTTAAGGCTCTTCAAAGCTCTTAAAAACTACAGGTTTCTCGGATTACCTGAAGCTCAAATTGTAAACAAGAATGAGATCTAGGGTTTCTCGGATTACCTGAAGCTCAAATTGTAAACAAGAATGAGATCTAGCAAATTCCGGTAACCATACATTCAAATAAAACCACAAAAGCACGGAGTCAAACTAACAAAATAGTTCGGAAACAAATTTCCTTTTAGCAAAAGATGAAAAAAAAACTCACCAAATCTGTAACGAGCAGATTACACGTCACCAACATCAATAGGACAAATACTTCATGTACCTAACGAAAGGTCAATAGAGCAATATCCATGAGGAAACTTCAAGGTAATGTAGAACCCAACTGTGCCAAAGAGACGGAGAGAACTGAACAAACATGCATATCTTGTATACTTTTAGAATTCACCATTTATCACGTCCGTGATCATGTAGAAAATGCACCAAGCATTTTATGGTACAACAAATTCAAAGAAATCACCAGTCACTGTTTTAAACTCTTCAGGTCGTCTTCAAGTCGACACCATTGCTCGCGTCACTGTCCAGACAACACCATCGTCATCATCGCCGCTCAGTTCATCATCGTCGTCGCTCAGTTCGTCGCACCGTTTGCGCCCTCTCGCCGTTGCTCTCGTCATCGTCGGATCTAGTACCCTCTCGCCGACCTTCGTCCGCGTTATCGTCAGAGCTCTTTTCATCGCCGACCGCCATCGTCCTCCGTCATCATCGAACGACGATCACGTCCTCTTCCCTTCGGATCGAGGTCACACTGAAGGAGGCCCTTCAGATCTGTTTATTTTGATCAGACCCGACCATACTTCATGTGGGTCTGATTTGTTTTGGCTCACACCTGAACCGGGTTTAAGTGGACCTGATTTCCTGCTTAGATCCAACCCGCAGGCCCGTTAATGCTTCACATTTGATTCATAGCTGGTTCAGTCCGACGACGGTATCGTTTTCTTTCGACTAGATATTTTTGCTGTTAATTTCAATTTATTAGTTAATTACACGAGTAACACATCTCTAAATTATTATCATATATTCACTGCTTAGTTCATACTTGTGAGTCGAGAGTAACTGAACATGTGACTGTTGCAATTCTGATATTGATTTTAGAACTTTGTGAAATGATAATGAATACTGCGATTAAATTATTTGAGATTGGATTTGTTCATGATTATCCTTACAAATCTTGTTAAAATCCATCTGTCACATTAATTGTTTGAAATTAATTTCCTACCGAAGATCATGAATTTTGGCGAGACGGTGCCTTGTTTGATTTAGATTGCTGATTCCGATAGGCCCCTTGCCCCGTTTCGCATCACTTTGGGAGTCGGTTTTATGAATCCCTAAGTGTCTATTCATCAATGCATTACAACAACTCAATTACCAAAACCGAGTAAAACCCTCCATGCAGAATAAAAATGTAGATGATTTATATGTAATCTCATATGGCACTTTGAGAGCTCATCTCCCGTTAAATAATAACAAAATCCAGAGCATTAGTAGGAAAGAATGAAGGTTGTTTTAATCTAATTATAGAATATATGATACCAATTAAGAAATCTACAGACACTTCTCAGCAAAGTAATTTCTCTGCCAAACAAAATAACGAGAAAAGGAAATGTAGATCAGATCAGAACAATTACAAGGTATTTAGAAAGAAAAACAAGCACAAAAAATGGAATTAGTCTTTTAGGTACTGTTTGGTAAAGGGTTTAATACTCCTATTTAGAAGGATTAAGAGTTAACCCTTCTAATTATAAAGAAAATAGTCAAAATTATTGTTATTCCTAAACACTAAAACTGATTACAAGGACTAAAATAAAACTTATTTAACGGGTTGATAATTTAGTCCTTCAGATTATCGAATGGGCTAAGTACATAATCCTTTTTTTAACCCCTCTTCCTTAACCCTTTGCCAAACATGGCCTTATGTAATTCGACCAAGCCGAGGACAATACGGCATCACCTCCCCATTTGATATGCACCCTTCGATCATCATCATTATCATCTCACTCTCTTTAATTCAAACCAGTTAAAAAGTACAAAATCTATAACTTATAAATGGCGTAGTTATCTCCCAAAAAAACACCCTAAAAGTTTAGAAAAATACAAAAAAAACACCCTAAAATAATCAGACTTTTACAGAATCATGCCTAGAAATATCAAAACTTTCAAACAACACAAAATCTATAAGTTTTAAATATCACCATGGAAAAATTGAAATTTGCAAAATGACATCTATAAGTTTCAAATTTGCAAAATATGCCCTCTAAAAGTCAAATTTTATAACAACATGCCCTAGAAATATCAAAACTTACAAACAGTACAAAGTCTATAACTTATAACAACGTATTGCAAAAAACACCATGAAAGTTTTAAAATTACAAGATACACCCTCAAACAATTAAATTTTACAGAAACACACCCTCTTAAATATCAAATTTTACCAACTAAACAAAATTTATAACTTATAAACGACAAAGACAAATTTTTGAAATTTAACAGAACACTCTGTGAAAGTTTCAAAATTGTAAATACACCCTTGAATCAAATTTACAAAAACACACAACAAAATATCAAACCTTTAATATAGTGCAAACTCTATAACTTATAAACAACAACGTGAAAATTTTGAAATTCGTAGAAAACACCCTTGAAGCTGAAAAATCACTGGATGCAGTACAAGGAAGCAACCAAATTTCAAGACACTTTGTATGCGCGCTATGGTCAACAGTTCTATCGAGAGTGCAACATCTCGGGCACTATAGACTTTATCTTCGGTGATGCCTCCGGCGTCTTTCAAAACTGCATGATCTACGCCAAATTGCCAATGCAAGAGCAAGACAATACCATCACAGCCCACGGTCGTGACAAAGAAAGCGAGGTTACAGGCTTTTCGATGCAAAATTGTTCCATCTTGTCGTGGCACGACCTTGTTGCCAGCAACGGGTCAGTCAAGACGTACTTGGGTCGACCGTGGAGGAATTACTCAACCACGGTGTACATTAGGTCGTATATGGATAGGATCGTCGATCCAAGAGGAGGAAATGGTCAAATGGCGACAATCCGGCATTGTACAAGGTGCACTATGGCGAGTACGCAAATTATGGACCGGGAAATGGGACGCAACAAACAAGGATAAATTGGTCAAGATTCCACTGGATGCATTACAAGGAAGCAACCAAATTTCGAGTTTCTCAGTTAAATGGCAGTCATATAGGATTCTTGTGGAAGGCAGCCACTGACTCCCATTTATAAACTGAGAAACTCAAAATTTAGTTGCTTCCTTGTATTGCATCCAGTGGAATCCCGACCAATTTATCCTTGTTTGTTGCGTCCCATTTCTCGGCCCATAATTTGCATACTCGTCATAATGCACCTTGTACAATACCGGATTGTCGCCATTTGACCACTTCCTCCATCCGCTTGGATCGATGATCCTGTCCATATACGACCTAATGTACACCGTGGTTTAGTAATTCCTCCACGGCCGACCCAAGTACGTTTTGACTAACCCGTTGCTGGCAGCAAGTTCGCGCCATGGCAGGATGGAACAGTTTTGCGTCGAAAAGCATATAGCCTCGCTTTCACTTTCACGGCCTTGGGCTGTGATGGTATTACATTGCTTTTGCATTAGCAATTTAGCGTAGATCATAAAGTTTTGGAAGACGACGGAGGCATCACCGAAGATAAAAGCTTACAGTGCCCGAGATGTTGCACTCTTGATAGAATTGCTGACCATAGCGCGCATACAAAGTGTCTTGATATCCGTCAATGGCACAACGGTAGAATGCGACGAAACCAACGTCGACGCGCAGCACCACCGCCTGGCCCTTGGATGCACCAGTTGTGTTCTTGAAACAGATGTCTTGGGCTATAAAGCCTCGGCACGAGATGGCTGAAATTAATGGAAGCATGGTTAGACAACTAATTGACCTAATCATGAAACTGAGTACACCACTACTGCTAACTAATGTATCATAAAACATCTTTCAGTGTAGAGAAGAGATGCATGATTAGTAATGACTGAAACACACACCATAAACATTACTACCTTATTAATTATGCATAAAGTTTTTAGCCAGTAACATCTTAGAAGCCAAAAGTTTTTGTCAAGCATAGATGGGATTCTTTCTACTAATTTGCAATATATGTTAAAGTTTAAAGTGAAGCGACTCTGACATACCATACAAAAGATATCCAAAGGTGATGTATAAGTGTGATTAGTGATGATGAAATTTTATCAAGGAAACCATATTGAAACAACTACCAACTTTTTTAACTAAGCATAAGATTTTGAAGCCAAAATTGTCTAGTTAGTAGTCAAAATCTTTGCACAACACAAGATAAGATTCACTTAACATTAATTCACAGTTAAATTAAAGTCTTTCAGAGTATGAGAAATAGTTACTCATTATCATTCACATTATAGACATTTTCAACGTATAAGTAGATTCAACCATGAATAAGTGCTGCACTAACAGAAAACTAAACTAAACATGATCAAAATGAGTTCATATTATAGACATGTTCAACTAATGTACTTCAGCCCCATTCAAAATCAAGCTCGCGGGAATTAAAAATTCAACCTTTACAATTCACCCACGCGAAAAATCATAACTTTAAGAAGTTAAGACACAAAAACTACACACCCAAATCGAAATCCAAACCAAACTCATCAGTGAGCATAATGATCAGATATAATATGCAATTCTGAGCTCCATACAGAACAAAAATAGGACATGAGAATTTCGAAAACTTACACCATTTTGAAGAAATCGTGAATGTCAACCCTCTCAATTTGTTCGAAGCAATGACTTGGGGGCTAAGGCTACGGCGAAGAGGAACTTGAGAAAAAGGCCAGGTGAAGAGGTCGAGGCGGGCAGCGACTACTCGCCGGCGGCTGCGTAGTGGGAACGGGCGGCGAGGCGTGGAGCGGCTAGTTGGGGCGGAGGAGAGGAGGATGGGGGAGGGTCTGGCCAGATCTGACGGC